GGGGGGGATGGGGGAGATGGGGGTTTGTCCAGGGAAGCGCCGGACCCCGTTGGGTCCTCTATATATGCAGCCTTACCTTGCATTTCTGTAGGAGGCTATATCCGCGGCTTGAACCCGTGAGTCACGGGCCATGACTTCATGGCCACACAATTACAACTTTTACCGATGCGGCAAGGCTCCGCTTCATATACAAATAATGAATAAGAACATAGATGTCTTAGGAAAGTAAAAGCATTGAAATTAATAGCGAGCATACTCAATATGCACTCACAATTTTGTGTTATGGACACCAAAGAACATTTCATGTGTCTTTGTTTCGAGTTTGAATGTATTTTTGCTTAATCGAAAGGGTGTGAAATCTATGTGATATTAACATGTAGTTTAAGTTTATGTACATTAATTCATAGATAGTGCGGAAAGTTAGTAATTCTATTACTTGAACTTCTTATAATGATAGAAGTGAGTCTTATTAACTTTTCAGGAAGTGTTAGAGGTTATTGGTTTCAGCCATGTAGGATTTTCTTGTCATGTTGCTAGCTGGATGTTCTAAACTTTTTACTAACGAAGGTATCTAGGCTAGCTTGCGCACACCTCAGGTGTTTCACCGCATACTTGTTATATCCTGCCAGTACAGGTCTAGCGTAACTCTGCCTACCAAGGAAGAAGATGGAAAAAATCACTTAGGGGTTTGAACTTTTGTGTCCAAGGTTTGATCTCACTTGTTGGACCACAGGGCCACACCCTTGGGTGCAGTTAGATGTTAGAAATTTACACTGAAGTCGACAGAAAAAATAAATAAATAAATAAACAAATTCAATAACTTTCTCGGATCCCATGTTTGTAATATATTGAAGGATGATAAAACAATAGCACATCATAGATGTTTTGGTTATCATGTGATATGGGAGTATCCTCACGTGGATCAGGCACACATTTTGTTTATCTTGAATTCATAATTCCTTGCATGCCAATCAGTTAACCTCACAAATTTTTATGGTTGGCCCTACACTTTTCGAGCAAAAATTTAGTTAAGTAATGTGGGGAAACATTGTGGTTTTCATATTGGCCTCTGAAGGACAAAAAAAATCGCAGTTTAGACCGTGGTGGTTTGATTATCCGAGCCTCACGAGATCCACTGGATTTGGAATTTTAGGAACTACCATGGTCTTGAACCATGGGAGAAAACCTCCAGTCGACAACCTTAGATTTTTATGGGAAACATAAAAAAGAGCCATAGGAAAAAATTGCTGGAATCTTTCCTTTTGTAGTTTTTATTTACGGAAAACAGCTCTTTCTCCAAATCTTGTTTACGCTTCAAATATTCAAGCTGAATTGCATTCCAACAATTTGACCTGATGCCTCGATGCACGTCTCTATTCTTTTCCAGATGCATAAATGTATGAGGATCTTCTCGCTAATTGAGTCTCGAAAATGGTTTACATTCGATGGAAGGCAAAGATTATGCCATCCACTGCCATCCGTGAGAGTTGGACATATGTGGGTGCAAATCATGTTCAAAACCAGTGGAGGAAGGAGGCCTAAGAAGAAAACATACTATAGAGTAAATGAACTAGACAGAGTCATGGAGCTTCAGAAGAAACCATCATTGATTTTACGCCTAAAATCCATCATTCAATCACAGAAAAACCAATGCCTCCTTCTTAGAGACCTTGAGAAGGAAGTTGGATTTGTGCAAAAGTGGAATTTCATGGGTATAATTGAGAAATATCCTTCGATATTCCGTGTCACTGGTGGTAATAGAATTCCACCGATGGTTATGCTCGCCGAAAAAGCTGATAAAGTTGCATTAGAAGAAAGTGAAGCAAGAGCGCAAATGGAACCCATTTTAGTCAAGAATCTAAGGAAGTTGTTAATGTTGTCGGTTGATTGCATGCTGCCACTGGAAACCATTCAACTGATTGAGAATGAATTGGGCTTGCCTAGTGACTTCGAGCAGTCGCTTGTTCCAAAATACCCACAATTTTTCTCAGTGAAAGATGTCAATGGAAGAACTTTCCTTCAATTGGAGAATTGGGATTCTTCACTAGCAGTCACTGCCCGGGAGGAAAGGTTGGTGCATGAAGGGGTCCTGACTTCGAAAGTGCAGGCTAGAATATTGAAAGATGGAAACTATGTTGGCCCTTTTGCGTTTCAATTACGTTATCCTGCTGGCTTCAGGCCAAATGTGAACTACCTCAAGGAAGTTCAGAAGTGGCAGAAGATGGAGTTCCCTTCTCCATACTTGAATGCCAGAAGATTTGAACTTGCTGATCCCAAAGCTCAAAAAAGAGTGGTAGCTGTGCTTCATGAGTTCCTCAGTTTGACTATGGAAAAGAGGTTGACATCTGGTCAAATAGATGCATTTCATTCCGAGTTTCGGTTACCAGCTAGACTTCTGCTTTGCTTAATCAAACATCATGGTATATTCTACATTACTAATAAAGGTGCCAGGAGTACTGTGATACTTAAAGAGGCTTATGATGGGTCTACTTTAATTTGTAAATGCCCTCTTTTATTGTTTAGGGATAAATTTCTAGAACTCACAGGCAGAAGAGGCATCGATTCATGTATCAGTGTTCCTTCATCGTAGGTTAATAAGAATATTGGTGGATAAGACAAAATCATGGTTTTCTTACAGTTCCTGAAGAATTATTACAGTGGTGCAGTTGAGGCTTATCGCTGTTGTAGGTTGTTTTCTGTTTCCCTTTTTGCATTCCGGCTCTGCCTTCTGGTGCCTAGTTATCAAAACGCATCTAAAGTGTCATCCCTGTTGGTATCAGCTGGTAGTTGTTTCGATACATATTTGGTACTAAGATTGATTGATACTGTATCGTGTCTTTTTCCCCTGTTTCTCGTAGGTCTTGATCAGTATTGACTGTTAATTAGTGATACCGTTGATTAAGATATTGGCAGCTGTAAAGTTTGTGAAATTTGAGTAAAGCTTTTGTATCAGTTCTAAGTTGAAAAGGACAAAGCTTCCCTGATATTAAAAATTGAATCAATCATATTATTTTAACTTTTAGCTAATTTGAGGCTGTGTATTACTGATACTTATGGATAATTTTCCTAACAAATGAAACATATAGGTAAGAATGTTTAGACTTAGGAGGTAGAAATTTGGAACATGAGAAAGCCGGGAAGAGAGACACAGGGGCATGTAGGAACAAAATCTTCTTTCTAAAGGTCATAAAGTATCAGGACTGTTTATACTAAGGATATCTTAGTTATTAAGTGGTTCTTTGATCCAAACTATTATAATTTACATTGTTTTGTTAATTTTTTTAACTTGGTTGATTTTATGTTTTGTAAAGATGATAACATAGTGTGATCTTATTGAGACCTTACCAAATAATTCCTCCTATATGGTTGTATCTATAACTAGTAAACTGAGGTTAGCCAATTTGAGGTGATACCATTTACAATGATAGAATCGAAACTTAAAAAGGAAAGCCTCGTAGGTTAAGATCAAATGTCTTCTTTGTGTATGGGCTGAGGGAAAACTCATTGTGCGACTGCTTCGCATGTTTGAGCAGAATTCAGAGTTACACAAATCAAAGGAGTTGGGGAAAGTAGATGGATCGCAATCAAAGTCCACAAGGTTAGTGTTTAATTATCAAAACTCTAATTTGGTGATTTGAAGATTTCTTTCCTCTTTATTTTAGCAGGAGGAGAATAGGTGATGTTCATTGTGAAATTGCAGGTGAAACCGCCCAGATTCTCGTAGAGTTCTTAGAAGTTGCCATTACGTCAGTTGTATTCCTCAAAGGAGTTTATCCAAGTGGTAAAAGAAAAATTGGCAGAAATTCATAGCACTAGTTCTTTTGCTCAAGCTAGATAATCTCTGAATAAGTGATCTTGTTCTCTGAAGGGGCATTTGAAAGGCGGCGTTACATGAATGTTGTGGTTCAAAAAGCTAGACACCCGGAGCTTCAACAGTATATCCATTCTACTGTCAATGGACTTCTTCCTTTCATACAAAAGGTTTATTCCATTCCCCTTCAACAGGCCCATAGAAGTCATTGATTAATTGCTCATCTTGGTTACTGGAGATGGCTAAATGTGTAAATAGATACTTCCAACTTCCCCCCTCCTCTCCCGACCTCGCCCCATGTTTTCGCCCAGGTGTCTATAACAGAGGAACATTTTGTTGTGTGCTTGAACTTATAACAATTGTTTGATCTTGTTTGTTGGAAAAATCTTATTGCTTTTACAAGGGAAGTGAGAGATTGGTCTATAAGCTGTTATTCTTGAGCCGTTTTCGTTGTGCAGAAGTAATCATGCTTTTCTACACAGGGATTGGTTGAGAGAGTGGCTGTGGTTTTTTCTGATAGCAACAACGTACCTCTTGAGAGATTTGTTTTCAAGATAAATGTGAACCAGTCCTATGGTTTGAAGTTGGAGGAAGCTGATCTGGAGTTCTCTCTTAAATCATTTTTGATCAAGCTTCCTTTGTCACAATCGATGATGAAGGTTCTTCCACCAGGTAAGCTATATTAGAAACTTCATTTAAAACGTCACTTCAGATCTTCGTCTAATCACATTAGATTAGTGTGTTTGTATTTACTAGATGTGCTTAAGACTAAGTATCTAAGGGAAAGGGAGGTTAATGCTATAGAACCTTTGTGCTGAATTGATCATTTTAGGTGACATCTTATCCCTGTGACATCCAACTCTAGCCACGTTATGAATTATTTTAGCCAAATAGAGTAGACAAGCGAAAAAGAGCATATAAGGTAAATGGAAAATTTTGATGGAGAGCAACCTATTATACCTATGATATCCCACTTAAGCGAACTTGGTTGAATTTCTTTAGCCAAATAGTATGCAAGTATCATACACTATGCTAGCATCTACAGCAATATGAATCTGACATGGCCGAATATGATCCTATATCATGTCTTATGTACAAATTGATTTCTACTATACCAACACTTCGAATCAGCAAAACACTATTTCAAAGACCCCTACATGATGACTTCATGGCAAACGAATATTTTGTTGAACAGGGGTGTGCCTGGCAAATGGTTTTGTATTGTAGCAAATATTTCGTTGTTAATCTCATCATCGGACAATACATGATTGAAAAGATGAAAAAATCTTTTTGTTTATCCATGAATAGATATATCGTCCTTTGGCTTTTGCGATATGCCTTTGTGGGAATTAGAAATGGGTTCCTCAACTTGTCAGCTTTTGATAGATTGCAGGTGGGAGATAACAGCTTACTTTCGGGCTCTCCCGCAGAGTAGTACGAGCAAAGACGCCGAAATTTGGGTCCCAACAGATACCCAGCAGTGGCAGCAAGCACCTCTTATAACTCCCATTAAGTCCATGAGTAGTGAACCTCTAGGTGTCCAGCTATATCTTGAACATCCAAGTCTCTCCGAACCAAAGGCTTAGAGAGACGCCATCTCAGAGGCATTTGTCGTGGAGCTCGACCAACATCTTAAGATATTCTGTGTTAATACCTTGACTCGAGCTTCTAGAACGCATGTGCCAATATCTTATCTGGTGTGGTTCCATACATCTTTCTCGCTTTGCCTACAGTTTTTACTACATATATTAGGTAGATTATAGACATACTGGTTTGTGGACAGAACCATTATAAGTGTGAGAACACTTGGGGCCCCAAAGGAGAAATTTATGTACAGCAAATTATCTCTGAAGCTCCTGATATTCCTGTAGTGAACATGAAAATCTGGCAATTTTTTATTTTTATTTTTGTGTGTGGGTGTGGGTGTGGGTGTGGGTGTGGGTGTGGGTGTGTGTGTGTGTGTGTGTGTGGGTGTGTGTGAGAGAGAGAGAGAGAGAGAGAGAGAGAGAGAGGGAGGTACATACTATTGAGCAAGATTTTGGGTAAGAAGAAAACAAGCCGTTATGCAAACCTTAGTGCTAGTATCATGTGAAAGAATTTAATTCGATCTTAATGTAATGAATAATATAATTAATGGCTATTGTAAACCTTTTTTTTTATATGTAGCGTTATTCTTATACCACTGAGCTCGGGCATTGCATATCCTTTAAAAATAAGGATTTTGTAAGATTGATAAAATTGGTTGAAACCACCAAAATACCTACTAGGAAAAATCAAAATCACCAAAATAAACAACTATTACTATACTTTGATTGTACAAGTTGGATTTGCCTGTATAGCCACTCTCAAAACAATAGTCAGAAAATATATATATATATATATATATGTGTGTGTGTGTGTTTTACGAAACTTAGCTCAAAGTAATACATAAAACAAGAAGATAGACAATAATGTAGAGAGAAAGAGAGGAGAGAATCCATTTCTTCCATGTATTCAAGTATGTCAAGTGTGTGCAATGTGATGCCCAAACCCTCTATTTATGGGATGATATAGGTAATACAAAGGGATGCCATGGACATGGTATTAACTATTGAGAACATGGGGGAAGATCATGGAGGTGTGGGAGTTACATCCATAATGGTAAGAAGTAGTGGGAGGTTAATGGAGAAGAGTAGTGGGTGTTACTCACTTAGGAGTTATGGACATCCACCATAATCAAATATTTCATAACACTCCCCCTTGGATGTCCAAAGATAATGTGCCTCGTTAAAACCTTACCAAGAAAAAACCCTGTGGGAAAAAATCTTAGTGAAGGAAAAAGAGTACACATATCTTGTAATACGCATTACTTGCTGCCTCGTTAAAAACCTTGCTAGGAAAATCCAGTGGGATGAAATCTGTGCGAAGGGAAAAAGAGTGCAGCGCGTGCTATACTCCCCCTGACAAAAATATCACTTGATATCTCAAAGACGATAAATTCCAATCATGTATAACAACTTCTCAATTGCTGAGGTTGGCAATGCCTTGTGAAGAAGTTTGCCAAATTATCACTTGAACAAATTTGTTGAACATCAATCATGTCTGAAATAGAACTTTAGTGAAATACATTTTATTTTGTCTCCTTCGATAGTCCTTCTTTCAATTGAGCTATGCATGCAGAATCATCTTCAATGTAATTGAAATCTTGTTGAATATCATAATTTGGCATTACGCTCACAGCCAAATAGATTATCTGAACAACGAACCATGCCCTGCATTTGTATAACCAACATAACCTTGACAATATTTGTTAGAATAAATAAACCTATATCAAGGATTCCTTTTGCAATATAATATTAATCATATTTCAATATCTCCATATAGCCTTTATACTTTTCAGTTGTTG